ACGTCTTATTTCCTGTTCAGTAGAAGGAAAATGCAAATGCAAGATATTTACGTAGGCGTAAAATTGTAAGGTACTGTTCCTAACATTGCGACTCGAGATGTTTTCTCCATTTTGAGGAAACATGTCTCTGTCAAAGTATGCGTGTTGACTTGTGTCGAGATAAAGCATAATTATACCGTACATTCTTGTTGCTGTTTCGCAAACAGTGTTGCAGGAAACTGGCCTTGAAATTGGCAATATACGAAGAGTTTTTTCTACAAGCCTTTTGTAATAATGTGACTCCTTTCATAGGTTAACATTAAAGAACTCATGTTCAAGTTCAACGTAAAAAACATGATACTTTGTGGGAAATTAAATAAATTTATATTAAAAATGTCTTATTTCTCATTTTAAAATATATACTTTTGGTATGAAATATAAAATATCAAATACAAAATACAAGATATAAAATATAAAATATAAAATATAAAATATAAAATATAAAATATAAAATATAAAATATAAAATATAAAATATAAAATATAAAATATAAAATATAAAATATAAAATATAAAATATAAAATATAAAATATAAAATATAAAATATAAAATATAAAATATAAAATATAAAATATAAAATATAAAATATAAAATATAAAATATAAAATATAAAATATAAAATATAAAATATAAAATATAAAATATAAAATATAAAATATAAAATATAAAATATAAAATATAAAATATAAAATATAAAATATAAAATATAAAATATAAAATATAAAATATAAAATATAAAATATAAAATATAAAATATAAAATATAAAATATAAAATATAAAATATAAAATATAAAATATAAAATATAAAATATAAAATACAAGATACAAAATACAAAATATATAATATAAAATATAAAATATAAATTGCAAGCTACAAGATACTAAATACAAAATACAAAATATAAAATATATATACTTTTGATAAAAAATGTTAGTTGGTAAAAATCACTAAATGCTGGTTTTATTAATACTATTTTCTAATACCTTTATACGACAGGCTAAATTTAATTTAATGGAATAATGGTCGCTGTAAAATGGAATATATAATATAACCAAAAAACAAAAATGTCTGGTTAAAATATAATGTGATCAGAAAATATAAGATAACCACAAATGCAATGTGTGACATTTACATTTTATATAAATTTTCTCTCACTGATATCCTTAAAATGTTTTTCAACCTCACAACTAAACATCTCCTAAATATAACTTGAAATATTTTTATTTCACTTGAAATATTTTACTTGAAATATTTTTTGTATCTTAACTAACAAAGTAACAAATAACAAATAACCGACACAGTGCACTAAATGGTGATTGTGCAATGGTAACATAACCTTAAAACAGACTAGCATTTCTCAATTCTAATATATAAATTGTAATCTTAATATATAAAGTGTATTATTCAATTCATCTGTTTTTATTACGAATTTTTATAAAATGTTAAGGATTTTAAGATTTGAAAGAATCTCCACGAATCCTAGAATTTCAAAAAGTATAAAGTCGAATCATTTTAATCAATTTAAGATTAAAGTATGGCCAGCAGCGGCAAGTAATCTTTGACATTGCTCGGCTTAACACACCGTGTACAATGTACAGGCTTCCCATCAAGGAATCAAGGATTCACAAAGCTGTACAAAGCTGTTTAAAGCTTAGCTAAGCTTTCACGTTGTCCCATTGTCCGTTAATGGCCCCTTCGTCCGAACTTCTACGCTTTTGGAAAACTTGTTCTTCTGTTAGCTGATGAAGAAGCATATGTAGAATACGAGGAATGTTTCAGGGCACTAATGAATCAGTGTTTTTGTCTTCATCTTTAGAGTTTGTACGATGGTTTTTTTTTCGTAGATTTAAAATGTTCTTTCTGAAATGAGTTCAAATTTCTACATTCACAAGTTTCTATATTCTCAAATTTAGTAATTTGAAGATTTCTCAATTTCGAAACCTTGAAATTTCCGATTCATCTAATTATCGAATCTTTGAAGTTAACAATTTCCCAAATTTCCAAATTCTTAAACTTCTAAATTTTCGTAAATTTTCAAATTTCTAAATTCCCCAATTCCTACGTTTCCAGATCCTTAAATTCCAAAATTCATAAGTTCCGTTTCTACATGCTCAATTCCCTAAATTCTGGAATCTCTAAATTACCAAATCCACAAGTCTCAAAATTCTTAAATACCCAAATTCCTAGATTTTCAAATCTCTAAAGTTTCAAATGCTAAAATTGCCAAATTGCCAAATTTCTGAATTCTTAAATCTCCAAATTACCAAATCCCTAAATTTTCGAATTCTCAAATTTCCTAATCTCTAAGTTCCCAAATTTCTAAGTTTCCAAATCTCTACTGCGCCAAATGTAGCATTCCCAAATCCCTAAACCCCCCAAATCCCTAAACAGCCAAACCCCTAAACCCCTAAATCCCTAAACCACCAAATCCCTAAACAGGCAAATCCCTAAACAGCCAAATCCCTAACCCCCAAATCCCTAAACCCCCAAATTCCTAAACCCCCAAATCCCTAAACCACAAAATCCCCAAACCTCCAAATCCCTAAATCTCTAAATTACTAAATTCCTAAATTGCTGAACCCCCAAATCTTTATGTTCTAAAAAATCTTAAAATCCAAAATTCCAAATAGTCCAAATCTTTAAATCCTCAACCTCTAAATTCCCAAATCCATAAATTTACCAAAATCTCCCAAGAATCTCTTAAAACAGTATATTTCATAACTCTTCAATATTTTCACATTTGTTCATTTGTTCATATAACACCACTCCCACTAATATATATTAAATGATGCCGTCAAGTTTATACAAGGAAAGAAAACAGATTGTATTGTAAAGCTAATCATTGTGTGTAATCAAATGGTATCGAACACAGCAACAGCAATACTGTATTGTAGACAGTAATTGGAGTTTGTATCGGTATTGGAAAGCCAATATTGTAGACCCATTGTTGTATAGGAAACGAAATTGCTATGTGAACCTCCTCCGTAACAACATTAACCCTTTTAAATGGTGAGAAACGTTCCGTGTACTATTATTCTTTAAACGAACATTTTTCTTGTGCTGCTGTTGCATTGTATTTCTATTTCGTCACTACTTTATCACGATCTTGGTAGTATTGTACTATTATTTTGTTAGTATCGAATTATTTTTGGTACTGTTGCATTGGTATTGAATTATTGTTGAATAGTATTTGTGTTCTTATTACATTTTTATTGAATTATTGTTGGATAGTGCTTGTGTTCTTATTGCATTGGTATTGAATTTATTGTTGAATAGTAGTTTCTCTTCTTATTGCATTTTTATTGAATTATTGTTGGATAGTATTTATGTTCTTATTGCATTGGTATTGAATTTATTGTTGAATAGTAGTTTCTATTCTTATTGCATTTTTATTGAATTATTGTTGGATAGTATTTCTGTTCCTATTGCATTTCTATTGAATTAGTGTGGGATGATTATCATGTTCTTATAGCATTTTTATGGAATTATTGGTGAATAGTATTTGTGTTCTTATTGCATTTTTATTGGATTATTGTTGAATAGCATTTCTCTGTTCCTACTGCGTTTTTATTGAATTATTATCGAACGATTATTGTGTCATTGTTGCATTGTTACTGAATTATTGTTGCCTAGTAATTGTGTTGTTATTGCGTTCCTATAGCGTTGTTGTCATGTCAGTACTACATTATTATCGTAATTATATTTTGGTAATAAAGTTATATTATTTTGGCGATTTGGTTAGCTAATGGAAGGGCTAGGAAAAATGAAGGAAAGGGGAGGAAGTGTTTAAGACATCCTTGTTGCAGACCCCTGCCTCAGATGCGGCCATGTATGGAAGGGATGGACTGGAACTTTCTATTTATTGTAGAAAGGCTCGTTGAGTAGTAGCGAGAAAGTCAAGTCTCGATATGCGCCGTCTAGTGACGATAAGTAGGAGTAAAACCGGCACAATTATAATATAATATTACTCTCACTGTTTATTTACTGCGTTTCTATTGCACTGATATTATACTATTATTACTGTTCTATACTAATGATATTATACTAGTATCACTATAGTGTTATTATTGCAATAGAATTGGACTGTTATTATACCATTGTCATGTTACTATTCTGTTGGTATTATATTATAATTATATCATGATCGTATTAGATAATTATTTTCCATGTAATTCACAATGAATTATTATCGTATTATATTTGTACTATTATTGTATTACAATTTTACTGCCGTTGCATTTATATAACAATAGTGTGACTGTATCACAACAAATTTAATTTCATGACGGCAAAAAACGCACAAATGTATTTCAATTAAAGTATAACGAATGTAGTTCAAGCAACGAAAGTGTCTCTGCGGAATGACAAATATGAAGTGAAGCGCGGGCCCTGGTGCCCTCGCTCATTTTATACGTTTCATTCCCCTACGACGTCTCCTGGCAACCACACCAATTTCTCCGAAATCTGCCACGTGCCCTCCGTCGCTCTTTGTTTCGCGGCCACCCCTCTACGACCGAACCGCCGAACCTCGCGATGCCGCCCGCCCTTTGCAGCCGAGCCTCCGCGTCCTCATGCCGCGCGTCGGCACTTGCCGGTATCCGCCATCAAACGGAGCCGTCCGCACCTTTGTACGCGTTTCTGGAAATTACGCGTCGGGAGACGACGCCGAGGAATGTCTTTCTTTTCTGCCGAAGTATAGGAATGTCTTTCTTTTCTGTCGAAGTGCGCACGAGGGTTCGCCGACATTCCGCGGTAGATCAAATACTTATTAATTTGCGTTTTCCTTGGAATTTCAGAGCATCTGCCACGTGCCACTTGCCACGTGCCATTTGCCACGTGCACCACGCATGTGTACATTTCGTAGAAAATTAATTATTTATCGTCTTCGAGTGCGACCGATCCCGCAGACAGCCAGCTGGAGCGCGGGGCAAGCTAGCTCGTCCCCGCCCGGGTTCTCACCTCTCCCGAGCGGTATGGCCCTCGGTGTTTTGTTGAGCACCACCACTCCCGGGCGGATTGGTTACCCCCGGTGCTACGGTGATGTTTTTCATGCCGAAACACTCATGATGCTCGACGAATACGGCCACAAGTTTCGCCGTGCACGTAGGGCTTCGAAACATGGAACTCGCCATGCCTGCTGCTCTTGACCAGTCGTCCTCGAAGACCCCGCTAATTTCGTTGAATCGTCTATATACTTTTAAATTCTCGTCTTATGCTCTGAGGTTCCTCGTTCGACTATTGTATTTCTATCCGTAATAGTGACATCGCTATTATGTTAGTATTATAATTTCATAGTATGTACTTACAATTGGAATCGTTGTACATGAATTAGTATTGTTTCGTCGTTGTATTGATGCTATGTTACAACAATAATATAGAACTGAAATTATAGCCTTTGATTCTCAAATATGTATACAAAATGCATACAGTTTATTATACATTATAACAAAGATATATAATGCAAATAAATATTATACGCGTTTGTTTACAGAATGACGAACTTAATTATGGACGTTTACAAATCGGAAAATAGGAAAATATAATATTACAGACTTGTAATAAAATATTATATACATTCCAATAATTTGAATGATACAAATTTGTTAATATTAAACGTTATGGTAGCTCGAGTTATACAAAGTCTTCAAAATTATGTGTATACAATACTATACCAACTTGAATTATAGTTTGATATTAATTATTTAATATATATTCAAGGATGTTCGCGACATCTACCGTGACGAACAAAAGAATCGAGGTTGAAGACGATCGGTTTTGTAACAACGCAGGAAATGTGTAATTGCATATTTATGTTGTGTAAAAATCTAAGTTAGTGATTAAATGTATCATTATTTAGTATGCAATGTGATTCTTATTAATATACTGAACCGTATGTTCGAAATTACCGTTTAACATATATAAAGAAATGATCTATATATTACATCATTAGCTTGATATGTATGAAATAATCAATATTACACATAGAATATAATTCACATAATTAATTACACTAAAACTTCACTTTGCCTGCAAATCAACTTTAATTAACAAAGAAAAGCATAATATTGTGATATTTATTTAGGAAGCATTGGTAGCTGGTTCTCAGATTCAGATTACTTCAAGAATATTCCAAATATACTTTTATCCTTGGAACAGCAGAAAGGGTTGAGCCAAACGATTGGAGGACCGTTAAAGCTATCAAAACTTCCCCAGCTTATTTAAGAAAATGAAAGAAAAACAGAAAAAACGTTTCCGAGTACGAACATTTCATTAACTTTGAATCTGATTCTTTTGTTTTAATTGATTTTTGTAAATCCCTGGTTAAATGAAGACTATTCTGTGCTTTTGGAATTTTGTCTGCTGTTCACAGCGTGATCAGTGATCACAAAGTAAGAGGGAAAAAACTAAACTTTTCAAATTAAGATTACAAATTTATGATTTAGTAGTTCTAAAGAAGATGGGGAATTTAAGACTTAGGAAATGTTGGGAATTTGGAAATTTGAGAATTTTGAGATTTGAGAATTTGGGAATTTGAGAATTTGGGGATTTGAGAATAGGGGAATTTGAGTAATTGAGGATTTGAGAATTTGGGAATTTGAGAATTTGGGGATTTGAGAATAGGGGAATTTGAGTAACTGAGGATTTGAGAATTTGGGAATTTGAGAATTTGGGGATTTGAGAATTTGGTGATTTGAGAATTTGGGGATTTGAGAATTTGGGGATTTGAGAATTTGGGAATTTGGGGATTTGAGAAGTTGGGTATTTGAGAATTTGGGGATTTGAGTAATTGGGGATTTGAGAATTTGGGAATTTGAATAATTGGAGATTTGAGAAGTTGGGTATTTGAGAATTTGGGGATTTGAGTAATTGGGGATTTGAGAATTTGGGAATTTGAATAATTGGAGATTTGAGAAGTTGGGTATTTGAGAATTTGGGGATTTGAGTAATTGGGGATTTGAGAATTTGGGAATTTGAATAATTGGAGATTTGAGAAGTTGGGTATTTGAGAATTTGGGAATTTGAGAATTTGGGGATTTGAGAATTTGGGAATTTGGGGATTTGAGAAGTTGGGTATTTGAGAATTTGGGGATTTGAGTAATTGGGGATTTGAGAATTTGGGAATTTGAATAATTGGAGATTTGAGAAGTTGGGTATTTGAGAATTTGGGAATTTGGGAATTTGAGAATTTGGGGATTTGAGAATTTGGAAATTTGAAAATTTTGAGATTTGAGAATTCGGGAATTTAAGAATTTGAGGATTTGAGAATAGGAGAATTTGAGAATTTGGGGGTTTGTAAATTGGTGAATTGGAGAACTTGAAACTTGAAAAATTGAGAATTTAAAAATTTTAAGATTCAAAAATATAGTAAGTTGAGTATTTAGGAATTTGGAAACTTCGTAATTTGGGAATTTACAAAGTAAATTTGACAATTTAGTAACACTCGTCCATAACTACAAATCCCTACTAATAATTCATCAACAACTACGTTCGTCGTCTATAAAGTTATCCTAAAACGCCATCAATAAAAACTGTCGAAAGTACAATAGAATATCCCCAAATACTAAAAACTACATTATCACAAAGTGGAAGAGGAAGTAAGGAGAACAACCCGAGTTAAACGAGACATCTCTAAGGTCACATAATTTTCATAGGTTTTCAAATTCTAATGCATTTATTCATGAACCCGCGGCGAACCAAACAGGTTTGGGACACGAGCCGACTACGTAGATAGTAATCTATCGTACAAAGACCCTAGATGTAATCTGAATCGCGTAACACGTAAGAGTGCTTGATGGTATTCAATTAAACGATCAAGTGACGCCTAATCTTCATTAACAGGTAGCTAGAGGCGTGACATGGCATGGCGCACTATTTGATATCCTATTCCCTACACGGTATAACTTGATATTGGCCGGTTCGCCGCCATTACGCGGTTCGGCTATTAGAGGTCCTTCCTCTCCGATGATTCCTCGAGGTCGTTACAATTTCGATTCCTCGACACTATCGATCTTCTCTCAAGCAGGAAACACGGTCACCTGATTACCTGCTCGTCGTGCTTCGTGCTTTCCGGACTGGCACCATTGTAAGAGGCTCTCCTTTGATAACTCCGGGGATTCTGGGAATTCTGAATACTTTTGGAATTTTAGAAACTTTAGCAATTTTTGGAATTCTTTGAATTTTGGGGATTTCTGGAATTCTGAGAGCTTGAAGAATTTTTGGAATTTTAGGAAATTGGGAAATTTGGGGAAGTTGGGAATTTTGGGGATTTTGGAGATTTGGGGAATTTTTGGAATTTTGTGAAATGGGAAAATCTGGGGAATTTGAGGTATTTTGGGGAATTTAGGGAATTTGGGAAATGTGGAAAATTCGGGGAATTTAGGAAATTTGGGGAAATTTTGGGGATTTGGGAAATTGGGGAAATTTTGGGAAATTGGGGAAATTTTGGGGAATTCGGGGAATTCGGGGAATTTGGGGAATTCGGGAAATTTAGGGAATTTGGGGAATTTTGAGAAATTGGGAAATTTAAGGGAATTTGGGCATTTTTGGAATTTTGGAAATTTGGTAATTTTTTGAAATTTTGGTAAATCAAGAATTTCATAAATTTTGTATATTGAAAATATAGGAATTATTGAATTGATGTAATTTTAAGAATTATGTGAATTTAAACAATTATAAAAATTTAAAGAAACTGAAATTTTAAGTACTAATAGTAAAAGTTACTAATAGTTAAAAAAAATAATTAAAGAGCAATTCGGTTAATTAATACTACCACTATTAACAAAGTGCACATTTTACAAACTAAAATATTAATCAATAAATATGAACCTTAATTATCAGTAACAATTTTACCAAGAAATTAATGAAAATATACTACAACTTTTATTTCTTGTTTCAAATATTTTCAAATAGAAACTCATTTTTATTCAGTGACCCTTCCCAAAGAATTTCTAAAATATCTATATGATTGTTTATCTGCGGTTTAAGAAAGGATATGAGATTTATACGAGACAGATGACTAATGGTTTTCCTAAATTATAGTTCGCAAAATTTTGAAAATGGTGATTTTCTGTTCCGAAAACGTTCTAGCAGAAAATTTACGGTCAAACTTCTGAGAATAAATGTGCGGTTGTGGTTTTGTACGTCGTGGAATCTGGAGGTACCTTATACCAGCGAAAGGGTTCCTTTAATTCACAAAAATTTATCGTTCTTTCTCCTTACCTTTTAATATACTCAAAGGTTAAAAGATGTAAAAGAATTACTTGAATTTTTCACGAGAAGAAATTGATGTTATTATCACCTTGAACTTGTTCTTTGCAAATAGACTCGGATACTAAACTTGGTCTCATTTCAATTTTAGATAAAGAGTAATTTCGTGAATTTCACAAGTGATATTTATCGGTATTAGATAATTAGTAATAGATGTTTAGTAATATTTAATAATATTAATACAACACTAACTGTAAATAAATATTTTATGAATATTAAAAAAATTCATTTAAAGAAACATGATATAATATTGCAAATTTGCGATATTTTGAGAAGATGAAATATTTTTAATAATTTTATTCACAATTTGCTGTTCATTTATACTCCACCAATACAACAATTTTATAATGCATTATTTTGAGCAGAAATTTGCAACAAAATGCGATATTATCAATAGAATCATATTTAGCAACATTTTTTATTGTCACTTTGGATGAATTATTTGTTAATAAATTATTGAGTTAGTTTAACACTGAAAACGTTAACTCAATTTTCAAACATAAATTGTAAGTCAAGAACAATTTTTTAGTGCATTTTTAAATTGATATAACACTGTTCAAATTTAATTTAAATATAATTGTTAAATTTTATGGCAGTCGCAGAAAAAGACAAAATATGAATATCATAAAATTATAAACATTGTAGTTGATAAACATGATGAACTTGATGTTATAAAATCAGGAATTATAGAGTTGGTAAATATTATGAAATTAATATTACAATATCACGAATATTATAGTGAATAAATATTATAAAATTAATAGTAACTAAATTACAAATATTATAAAATTGTAATACAAAATCAAGAATATTATAATCTGTAAATACTATAAAATTAATATTAGAAATTCGCTATTATCAATAC